CTCTCTCTCTCTCTCTCTCTCTCTCTCTCTCTCTCTCTCTCTCTCTCTCTCTCTCTCTCTCTCTCTCGCTCTCTCTCTCTCTCTTTCTCTCTCTCTGCTTTGTCACATACATATACGTGAAAAGGTTCAAAAGAACCTGCGAGAGTCCATACCTACATTGTACGATCCTGGTCCCGGTGTCGGGTGGCCGCGAACCGGTCAGCCACCCGAAATGGTAGGGATTGGACCGTCTACCGAACGCCCAGTTAAGATTGGTTGGGTACTCTTGTCGGAACTGTCGGGGAAAATTAGGGGTCCTCAGAGGAACTCTGAAATCCCCTGCATCGACCGTAGGGACCAACCCTTGAAATTAATAAGTTGAGCAGCCCTCTACCGTGCCTGACACTTACCTTTTTCGTCGGTTCCGAGGCTGTTTCCGAAGCAGCCAGTTGCGGAACGAGGGTATGGTAGTAAGCCTTCGCGTGGCCTTTCTGCACTGACCAATCAATGAGAAAATGGGGCCTTAAATTTAGTTAGTATTAATGATGAAAATAAAAATGATTAACAAAATTAAAAGGTAAAGGAATGAATGATTAATTTATTATCAAGCAAAATTTAGAAGTTTCGGCACTCGATAATTTTTAACCAGAAGTTTTTTTTTTTTTTTTTTTTATAAACAGAGCCTTAGGGCTCTGGCTCCTTTTCCATTCTGGGGAGCATCAGTCCAGTTCCTATTCCACCGGCAAGTCAGGAAGAGATACAAACATCACTCACTCACACTCCTCCCCCTTATGGTGGGAAGGCCTAAAGGACGACATTGATTACTTCCGAAAGGAAGGATGTACCACCCTTCACCCCTGCCTAAGTTAGCCTGATCTATTTATCTCTATCCCTGTTGGCTAATCTGTCCTTGCTCGCTAACATGCCCTTCCTTTAATTTGGGACTCGTAGCTTGTCCACCTGCATCCTGGCCAGCCTATTCCCTTTTTTACAATGGGTACTCACACACGCTCCTCCCCCTTACGGTAGGAAGGTCCGAAAGCTGGCCTTGATTACCTCCCGAGGCAGGATGTACCACCTTTCGCCCCTGCCTTTTTTTTTTTTTTTTTTTTTGTTGTTGTTAAAAACAGGTCCTTATGGTCCTGGCTCCTTATCCATTCTGGGGAGCGTCAGTCCGGTTCCTTTCCACCGGCAAGTCAAAAGTTGGAATACATTGTGAACACTCTCACGCTTCCTT